AGCAGAGAAGCTAGTCTGCAGAAAAAGAATGAAGCAAATATATCAAAAGAAGAGACGGTCCTATGACTGTCCTGTTTATAGTTCCAGTTTCTTCTTAATGCTTAGCCTTATTCTGCCTTAGGGTTCTATGAGATACTCTGTATCCTTTTATCTTTTTTCCCCTCAAGATTTGTGTTATTTACATTTTTATTTTGAGTCCCAATAAATGCATGTAGTAAATGGCTAGAGCTAGGTCTGTGGAGTTCTAAAAACCCATATTTTAAACTATGATATCAGTAAATGTTGGCATATTCATTTTTTTGTGGTATATATAGTTTTATAATAAACATTATAGTGTATGAATCCTTGCCCACATTTCTGGGTCATTGTATATACATTTAGAACATTTAGAGCTTTTTTATGTATAGACAAAATGCTTTCCAGAAAGATTGCATCTATTTTCATTAACATAACAATGTATGAGAACAAGGCAGATATATCATTAATGTGTTATCGTTGTCAAATGTTATTTATACATACACTATCCAGTCCTCAAATTCAAAATATATTTTTTTCTGGTGTCTGCCTTTGTCCCATATTTAAATTATTCTAAAAATTTTAAATTCTATTAAAGATAGTTTTTGTAATTGCTTTAATTGCAAGTAATTTTATTGACTTCTTTTACTAACTTCCTTGAATGTAAGTGGAAAATGCCATAACGTAAAAAATAATTCTGATTATGTGTGATAAAATAGGTAAGGAAAGCTTATCAGTAAGAATACAACTGTTCAGTAGAATAACTGAAGGAAATGTTTAGATAAGTGTTCCTGTAGTATGATGTGCAATGAAAAGATTAGAAAGTATGTAATTAAAAGCATTTATGAGGTCCTGTGGACTGTTTTGGTTTTGGTAAATTTTTATTAATTTGAAAATAATGTGAGGACTTAGACATTTTACTTTCATCTTTTTTTTTTTTTATAAGACCTAAAGGTTGAGTTTAAGTAAAAACCTTATTTGAGGAGATACATAAATTCAGTTGATAAAGGTCAACATTCTCCAAGAAAAAGAAAATAGAAACTTAGGAACTCCTGCCAAACTTAAATTATTACCTACTGTAATTGTGTGCTATAAAAAGTGGAAAATAACAAGCATAATAAATTGTAAAAAGCATCAGAATAGGCCACTAGAATACACTATTAAATGTTATTTAGCGTTTCCTGGGTCTGTTTCATCTGTAAAGTGAGGAGAGTAAAATTAATACCTTTAGCATCTCTTTTACCTCTAATTAAGTGAAATTTGTACCTAACTCCATTATAAGAAAAATATAATTAAAAATAACTGAGTGATGCCCTAGCCAGTTTTGCTCAGTGGATAGAATGTCGGCCTGGGGACTGAAGGATCCAAGGTTTGAGTCCAACCCAAGGCACATACGTCAGTTGCAGGCTCGACCCCTGACCCTAGTATGCATGTGTGTGTGCGGGAGGTAACCAATCTATGTGTCTCTCTCAGTCTCTCCCCCTCCTTCCCATTCTCTCTAAAAATCAATGGAAAAATATCCTCAGGTGAGAATTAAGAAAAAAAAATTACTTCATCTATTAACATTTCAGTAAAGAACAAACCCACATTCATTTCTTTTAACATCTGCCTACAATTGAACTTTGGGCTTAAAAAAAATCCAGCCAGTCTATTTATCAGAAATAAAGGGTTGAATTAGGTAGGAATAGACGTAGAAAGTGAGAGTGGCCCGGCCAGCGTGGCTCCGTGGCTGAGCATTGACCTATGAACCAGGAGGTCACAGTTTGATTCCTGGTCAGGGCCCATGCCTGAGTTGCGGGCTTGATCCCCAGTAGCGGGTATACAGGAGGAAGCCAATCATTGAGGTATCTCTCTCTTCCTCCCCCTTCCTCTCTGAAATCAATAATAAAAATATATTTTCAAAAAAAAGAAAGTGAGAGTGGAAGACTGGATTTACTGTTTCTTTTGTTTCTACGCTCGGTTCTGCAGAGGCAATCAGGCATTTCTTCATCATAATTAACTTTCTGGGAAACTGTGGTCTTCCTGCAGCTCTAAAATGACATAAACTATAACACATAGCCTTTCTCTTTCTCGCCTCACAAATCCCTCCCCTATAATAGGAATTGAGAAATGGATCCTATTTTGTTAACATAAGGCTATATTAACTAGTATGGTAACAATTAGTACTTTCCTTATTACGGTTTGTAATATAAGTATATTTATAATTAATATTTATGTAATGAATTCTATTGTTAAACTGATACTTTGTGATTTGAGTTCAAAAGAGAAACAGTAACTAAAATGACTTCAGATATGAATAGGTCAAAACAATAGATTGAATTGAAAATGTTTCAGTTCACATTTTTTTAAAATCTTCACCTGAGGATGTGTGTGTGTGTGTGTGTGTGTGTGTGTGTGTGTGTTAATCCTCACCCAAGGATATTTTTCCCATTAATTTTTTTTAGAGAGTGGAAGGGAGGGAGGGAGGAAGAGAGAGAGAGAGAGAGAGGAGAAAGGAAGAGAAAGAGAAAAAGAAAGAAACAGAAACACCACCCGTGAGAGAGACACATCCATTGGTTGCCTCCCACATGCACCTGGACCTGGTTTGTGGAATTGAACCCAAGAACCTTTGGTCCATGGGACACTAACCATTGAGCGAACCTGCCAGGGTGATATGTTTTTGTTTGTCTGGTTTTTTTATTGGTTTTTTTTAGAGAAAAGCATTTATGTGAGAGAGAAACATCTATCATTTGGTTGTGTCTAATAAAGGCCCAGACCAAGAGTCAAACCTGCAACCTTTTGGTATATGGACGATGTTCCAACCAACCAAGCCATCTTTATATTTTTATCATTAATATGTTAATTAAATGACTGTATGTAGGTCACTTTTTGTCTTACCTATTTGAACTCATATATTATTCTACATTAGCCTACTAGTGTGGAAAGTACTGTGAGGGAAAACATGACTTTGATTAAGTTTTTTGGTTTGTTTTGTTTTTGCATAGAAAATATGGTTCATAATGTGCTGTTGTATAAAGTGGTTTTTATATTTCTATAAACCTTTGTTTTAGAAAGTGTATATTAGTTTTAAAAGCTTCAAGCTACAGAATCTGTAACTAATAAGGATTATTCTAAAACAGGCATTGGAAATTCCTTGTCCTAAGTTAATTCAAAAGGATTTTCAGATTGCAGTTTATTATAGTGGATTGCAGAGATGCTACTACAACTTAACGTTAACACAGCCCAGGCTTGAGGTCAGGAACTGAATACTATGGTATCATTGGTAATCCCAAGTTATGAATATGATACTCTAAGACTGATTTCCTTAGTGCTGCAGGCTTATGTTTATTTCATTGAACAATTTTTATTTTTTATCAAATATTTTTTTATTGATTTCTGAGAGAGGAATGGAGAAGGAGAGAGAGATAGAAACATCAATGAGAGAGAATCATTGATCAGCTGCCTCTTGCACACCCCCTACTGGGGATCGAGCCCTCAACCCGGGCATGTGTCCTTGACCAGAATCTAACCTCGGACCCTTCAGTCCGCAGGCTGACACTCTATCTATCCACTGAGCCAAACTAGCTAGGGCAACAGTTGTTTTTTTAATTAACAAAAAAATTAAACAGGCCTTAGTGCCTGATACAAAGACAGAGGCCATGGTTATCTCTCACCTAGATTATACCAACAGCCTTCTAACTGGTCTCCGTTACCCCCCTTGATCTCTTATTGTCTAATCTCAACATAGCAGCCATCATGACAGTGCTCTGCTCAAAAGTCTGCAATAGCTCCCCATTTAATTCACAATAACAGTCAAATTTCTTTTTTTAAAAAATATATTTTATTGTTTTTTTTACAGAGAGGAAGGGAGAGGGATAGAGAGTTAGAAACATCAATGAGAGAGAAACATCGATCAGCTGCCGCCTGCACACCTCCCACTGGGGATGTGCCCGCAACCAACGTACATGCTCTTGACTGGAATCGAACCTGGGATCTTTCAGTCCGCAGGCTGACGCTCTATCCACTGAGCCAAACCAGTTGGGGCAAGGGCTGAATTCTTACTAGTACTTACACCAGTGTTTAAGGAACAAGAAGAAGATGTGCTCTTGTGTGGGAAACAAACAAAAGGAAATAGATGGTTAAAAGGGAACCAGGAGAGTATGATGCTGTATAAAGAAAGTGGTGGGTCATGTCAAATGCAAAGAACTATGTACTAAGTCTTTACCATTCTTCTTACAACCCTACTTAACTTGCTTTTTTAAACACCACTTCTTATTGAACCACCTTGGCTTCAAATTCTTGAGAATTAGAAACTTACCCCTCTCTACCCTTTCTTTCTCCCCTCTAATGCCAGGAGAGTCAAAGCTAACTCATATACTGGTGCCATTGATACCAAGACTTGTCTACATTTTGTTTGTTCCTTTTTATAGCCTACTGCTCCCAGTAACCCATCAAAATTTTTCTCAATAAAGTTACCAATTGAAATTTTAGTGGTGGGGCAGAAGAGGAAAACATATTACAAGGTGTTGTATATTGAATACAAAACGGGGAAATGTCAATAGGAATTGCAGATAGCAGTTACTAATGGAATTGAGAGGGAGATAATGCTTAGTCTTCATCCCCAGGGAAGTGAAGACCCTTACATGGGCCAGATTCAGGTACTATTCCAGAGGCGCTTTTATTTGTAGCCACATTAAAAGTATGTCCCCTACCTGTTTTTCTTCTTCTGTAGCATGCTGGTGATTGAATCTTTACTGTAAAAGCAAAAATGAGTCAGTTCCCACAGTGGAAGAGTAAGGAAACATAAGTTTCATCACTTGTTCATTTCATGCAAAAATATTTCTTGAGTGTCTGCTGTGTGTCATGTTAAGGGTTAGTGCTGGGAATACATTGGGGAATGAAAACACACAGTTCTTGTTTTCATGGAACTTATAGTGTAGTGATTGTTTTTAATTGCTTGTTTACATTTAGCCTAATTTATTTCATTTTGCTTTTTCCCCCTTTAGTATCCTCTTATCTATGGACTGATTCTTATTCCCTGCTGGTGTTCCCTAGTTTGCCTAAGTAGAATTTACATGGGAATGCACTCCATTCTGGTAAGAAAAATGTTGTATTTATAGTGCTTTATTTTTTCTGAAATTGATAGGCAATTTAATAATTTTTAATCATCTGTAAACTTATGTGACACCTAAATGAGAAAATGTTATTATTGTAAGTCTGTGTTTTGCAAAAATATCAGCATGATTTTGTGAAGTTTTAATGTAGTAATCATGTACTTCATAAAAACAACTCCCAGCAACCACAATAACCAGGTATTATACTCAGGATAACATTTCTCCCTTCTTCCCGTCTCAGTTTTATTTATTTTTTTCTCATTCTTTTCTATGCCTCTCCTGACTCTGAGTCAAAACCAACAGTGTGAATACAGAAACCAAGGAGAGCTCTACTTGTTAGTGACTAGAAACTTAAATGCACTTAAACTATTAGGGTGCCACTTGTATTTACATATTAAACTCTAGTGTCTTCTCTTTCCTAGCAGTACTTTCGGGCTCACAGCAGATGTTTTATTGTGAGAATGCAATTCAGTTTCAAAAGCAGCAACACAGAGACCATGTACTCTTTTCAGTCACATGTGCTCACTTCCTCTCTGTCCCTATTGGCATTCCCTTAGTCATCTCTCAACCAAATTATTGCAACAGCTTCTTAATTAGTTCTCTTTCAGGTCTGACAGGGTTCCATGCAGTGTTCAGTCTCTTGTAGTGTACCTCCCAAAGCAGAAATATGAGGCCATACAGAATGACTTTACATCTCCTCAAATGCAAAGGGTGTTTCTTACCTCCATACGTATAGGATTTCTATAACCTATGTATGAAATGCCCTTTATCTTTCTTAGACTAGCCTAGCTAATCTACCCATTGTTCAAGATCCACAAAAATGCTCTTATCTCCTAAAGCTCTCATTACCTTTCCCGTCTTTCCTTTCTTAAGACCCTTCTCTCAGAGCCTTTTGAATATAATTCTGGCATTGCACTTATCCTAAACTGCAAATGCTTTTTTCTTTATCTGTTACCCCCACCAGACAATAAGCAACACGAAAAAATAAACTGTTTTCTCTCTGTAACCTTGCATCTAGTGTGGTGTCTCCTAAGACATTCTATGAACCTGTTATACATTATACCATAATGAAAGATCAGAAGGAAAGGTGGAGATATATGAACTAATTCACAGAATCCAAAAATTTCTAGTGAATTATATTTAATTTTTCTTGTCTTTAACAACGTTTACTTTTAGAATTTTCCTATTTGACTTTTATAATTATATTAATACAAATTGTGAATTTATATACAGTCCTATCTAATATCAATCAATTTTATAATGAGATTAAGTATCACAGTCTTAATGTCAACCATAATATTTGTCACAAGAAAATATTATTATCTATCTCTGTGCCTTGTTAGAGTTATTCCCTTCTACTACCAAAATTTAGCAATGTCACTCCTAAAAAACTTTCAACTGGTTATGCATCTTTGAGTGAAAAAATTAATCCTTGAGATTTCCTGAAGAAAAATGTATCCTATATAATAAAAGGGTAATATGCAAATTGACCCTATCAGCAGAACAGCTGGTTGCTATAACGTGCACTGACCACCAAGGGGCAGACGCTCAACGCAGGAGCTGCCCCCTGGTGGTCAGTGTGCTCCCACAGGGGGAGCTCCACTCAGCCACAAGCTGGGCTGACGGCTGTGAGTGCAGCAGCGGTGGTGGGAGTCTCCCGCCTCCTCAGCAGTGCTAAGGATGTCTGACTGCCATCTTAGGCCCAATCTCCCAGGGAGCAGGCCTAAGCCAGCAGGTGGACCTCCCCTGAGGGGTCCCAGACTGCAAGAGGCCACAGGCCGGGCTGAGGAACCCCCCCACCCCAGTGCATGAATTTTTGTGCACAGGGCCTCTAGTTAGATAATATTTTCTATACCTAGGTTCATTATTATCATACAATGAGTAATATGATTATATTGAATGTATAATCTCAAAGATGCTGCTCTTTTTTAAAATATGTATATGTATTTTTTTATTGATTTCAGAAAGAAAGGGAGAGGGAGATAGAGATGGAAACATCAATGATGAGAATCATTGATCAGCTGCCTCCTGCATGCCCCCTACTGGGGATCAAGCCCACAACCTGGGCATGTGCCCTGACTGGGAATTAAACTGTGACCTCCTGGTTCATAGGTCAATGCTCAACCACTGAGCCACACCAGCCAGGGCTAGATCATTTTTTATATACCAGATAATTCCTATTCATGAATCAGCTGAAATAAAAACAGTATTGATTATTATTTTTCAAATGATGACTCCTATAACCTTAATCCTTTTAAGTATATAAGAATTGTCTCATGTATATTACAAGTTTTCGCTTTTCCTTTAAAAGTAAAATCACAGATAATTTGTGAATTATGATTATGTTATAACCACAACTATTTCTAATCAATAATATATTGCTTATCATTTAATAATTGGTAATGAACCCTTTTTTTTGACATTTGGGCCTAATTTTCCCCACAATTTTTGTTGTTTTTTTTTTTTTTTGTATATATATATATATATATATATATATATATATATTTTTTTTTAGTATATTTTATTGATTTTTTTACAGAGAGGAAAGGAGAGGGACAGAGAGTTAGAAACATCGATGAGAGAGAAACATCGATCAGCTGCCTCCTGCACACTCCTCACTGGGCATATGCCCACAACCAAGGCACGTGGCCTTGGCTGGAATCGAACCTGGGACCCTTGAGTCCGCAGGCCGACGCTTCATCCATTGAGCCAAACCGGTCAGGGCTTTTTTTGTAAACGGTGTCCTAAAATTCACGCAAGAAGTAATTTTGATAGAAAATACAGGTTTATAATTAAAAATTGTAAATTTTTTATTGATTCATAAAGTATACAGTATAGGGTTATGTATGGAATAGCATATCGGGTAAATGGTCTCCACGGCTTTGCTGGCACATATGCACTCTTTTGTTGAAATTTTCCATGACCGTTTTGCATAAATATGGCTGAATTTTGATGAGGCTCATTTTCATCTTGATGGCTTGGTTAATCGACAGAATTTTCACATTTGGGGTTCAGAAAATCCACGAGTGATTGGTGAGAAACAAATGCATCCACAACGTGTCACTGTTTGGTGCGGATTTTGGGCTGGAGGCATCATCGGACCATTCTTCTTCGAAAATGCGGCTGCTCAGGCAATAACAAAAGAGTGCGTATGTGCCAGCAAAGCCGTGGAGGCCATTTACCCGATATGCTATTCCATACATAACCCTATACTGTATACTTTATGAATCAATAAAAAATTTACAATTTTTAATTATAAACCAGTGTTTTCTATCAAAATTACTTGCGTGAATTTTGGGACACCCTTTATATTTTAATGTTTTGGTAATTACCTGCATTTTGAACTATTTTCTTTTTTTTTTTTAATCCTCACCTGAGGATATTTTTTCATTGATTTTTTAGAGAGAGTGGAAGAGAGAGGGAAAGACAGAGAAATATCAATTTGAGAGAAACACATTGATTGGTTGCCTCTTGCACGAGGAGGTATGTGCCCTTAACAGGAATCGAACCCAGGACCCTTCAGTCCACAGGCTGACGCTCTATCCACTGAGCCAAACCGGCTAGGGCTGAACTGTTTTCTTAATCATAGTTTATATCTTCACTGTTTATTGTGAAATTAGTATGGAATTATAGGCAGAGTGTGCCCTAGAGGTTGCTCATAGGTGCTTAGATACCGTATTACTTAAGCTGATATCGTCATTAACATTAAGAGGAGAGTTCAGATGTGTTCTAAATAATTTATAATGAAAACTTCATTCAGTATTTCCTATATGCTTTGTTACTGTTACAACACAAAGAACAACAGCTTCGTTTATTTTTAATATCCACCTACTTCCCTAAATTGATTTTCTTTATCCCCATATTTTCTTTGTTACCAAACCTAACTCTCAAATTTAATTTCTTAAAACACAAGCCATTTTCAAGTTATAAACTGAGTACTTGTCAAATTACTTTTGTTATAGAGAAAGATCTAAAACAGTAAACACTAAGGGTTTTTATAGTGGTGAGTTTTAATAGTAGTAGTTCCTAGATAATAACTATTTGGGTTTTTTTATTTTATTTTATTTTATTTTTAAAATATATTTTATTGATTTTTTACAGAGAGGAGGGAGAGAGATAGTTAGAAACATTGATGAGAGAGAAACATTGATCAACCGAGGTACATGCCCTTGACCGGAATCGAACCTGGGACCTTTCAGTCCGCAGGCCGACGCTCTATCCACTGAGCCAAACCGGTTTTGGCGTATTTGGGTTTTTTTAATTTGGTTGGTTGTTTTTGGGTTTTTGTTTTTGTTAATCCTCACTCGAGGTTATTTTTTCCATTGACTTTTTTGAAAGTGGAAGGGAAGGAGGAGGGGGAGAAGGAGAGAGAGAGAGAGAGAGAGAGAGACATCGAAGTGAGAGAGACACTTCCACATTAGCATATAACTTAACTTTCAGGGCATAAAAATTATAATTAATATCTAAATTATTCACTAAGTTTCTTCTTGGAAAATTTGCTACTTAAGTTCTTTATGTTACATTTAACATTAATTTTCTTTATTGCATACTTTGTGATGTAATACTTAAGAGCACTTAGTTATACATTTTAATGTCATACATTAAATATCCCAGTGATAACCACCGTGTTTATGTCCTGAACTCAATCATGCATTACTTCTGGTTTTGTTGCATGGAATTTCAGCATGCCCTTACTATCCAGTGTAATATCATGAACAGTTAATAAATAAACAGGAAAGGAAGCAGTCCTAGCCGGTTTGGCTCAGTGGATAGAGCGCCGGCCTGTGGACTGGAAGGTCCCAGGTTCGATTCCAATCAAGGGCACATGCCAGGGTTGCGGGCTTGATCCCCAGTAGCAGGCGAGCAGGAGGCAGCCGATCAGTGGTTCTCTCTCAACATTGACTTTTCTATCTCCCTCTTCCTCTCCGAAATCAATAAAAATATACGTTAAGGCCCCACTGTAGTTGAAAATAAGAAAAGAA